GTGCAAGCATAATAATTCAGTCAGATTTTTTGCGAAACATTCGTGATCGGCACTGATTCAATGATTTATTGATCTTGTTGATCAATGCTAATCTACATTCACGACATATCAGCCAGAAATCCGTGGAAACTGTCGAAAATAGAGAAATTGCTTTGTTGATTTGATGGGATGGTACGTAAGTTTATGTTTATAGATGGTTCAAAAACAATCATAAACAGAGATGATGGGAAAAACATGGGTTCAACGAAAAAATTCTCCATACTTGGTTAGCTGTGTGCAAACAGATCGCCATCGATCACGGAATCGCACTTGCAATTTACCTTGTCGAACGGAAGGTCCATCGATGAGCCGAAATTCAGGTCTGGTCTCATCGTAGTCGAGCATTTGCTGATATGGTAACATTTGAATGTGTGCAAATTCATTGCCCTGAAAAAGAAAATTATTATAAAGTCAGTGACGACAGTACTTTGTACTATTTGCTTGCTCTTCTCTTTCAACCCATGTGAACTTATCGGCGAAATAACTATGAAAGTATCAGCAGGAATATAGCTACCCAATAATCTCAGCTATAATCCGATAAAAAAGTGATGCAACTGAACTTCGCGTGTAATTCTGCAGAATTCCTGCTTACTCTCTTTCATGTGTTAATTCCGTATGGTTGTATTCAGTTGTATGCAATTCGAAGTAATTTCCAGACATCACAAATAAGATTATGGGGAAAATCTGCCAGAAGAATTAAATTTGGACTCGACGTGTGAGGAAGACTTTCTCTTTTCAATGGTGAGCAAAATTCTGCAGATGAACAAAACACTGCACCCATGCAATATGAAATGCTAAACACTCTTAAATTGCATTCAATGCGAACAATTGCGGATTTCGTTCCTCAACAAAACGATCCAATCATAAAATTCTTGAGCCGAACGTCCGTTGAAGCGTGAAATTCCTTTTCACATTTGCCATTTAAACTGAGGAGAATGCGTGCATAAAATCTCATACGATTCATTTATCATTACACAAATAGTCATATTTTTAAGGTTTGATCTCAAATTCTGATGTACTTTCAAAAGGGTAAATGAATCAATCATGCTTGCAAACCATTCAGATAGATTAAAGTTAGCAGAGTGATGGATGGAATAGGTTGTGAAATTTTGATGTTTCGTTCAAGGAAACCATGCCAAAAAAAGTTGCTATGTGTACTGATTTCGGATCTGGATTTTTTTCTCATCTGAATTTTTCACTTGATTTGTTGTGATT